TTGGTTTTTGTGCGGTGCAATACTAGTTATGACGGAAGGAGCCATGACTTTGCACATCGATGGAAGCGGTGGGCATTGCAAACATTAGAGTAGCAAACATCAGAGGGTAGCAGATAGCGATGTAAGAGTTCACGTGGTCTAATTTTTTGACAGGATACGTGATAAGGCACACTTCCCTGGAACTTTTGGGGTAAACTTTTTGGGGTAAACTTTTTTGGGGTAAACTTTTGGGGTATGTTGTTCACGGAACAGTCGGCGGAGTAAGTTGCAGCAAGAAGGGGTTTTGCGGACGGTGCTCTCTCATCGGCATTCGAGAGATACCCCAAGGACTCCTGATCAGCTGATATCGTGGACTAACTGCAGCTGTAACCGGAGTACCACTGTTTGAGAATATTGGGTCCGGGGTATCTAAGCCAGGAGTGTGTTTATGTACAATATGCGACCAACTTTTTACACTAAGTTGAGCAAGCAGCGCGGCGTAATGAGCGAGGCCCGTAATCTGAGACTAGGAAATATCCGGTAGGTTGAAATCACACAGCACGAAATCAGGCGAGTGAGGTAGAGCACGTGCAGTGTAGATAAAACAGAACAAGTCCGCAGTAAAGGGGGAGGAGGCTAGTGGTAGTATAATACAACTTGTGGAGGTCGTTTTTCTGTTCTGTAGAGATCCAGATGGCCTTTGGAATGCCATTCAGGGTAGGAGCATCAATATGAGTTAAGCCAAATCCGGTTCGGAATAGATGGCGCAGCCGCTCCTTGAGTTCCTCATGTCAAAGCGTGAATAATATATTCAGAGATCGAAATTGCTGTGTCCGCAGTTTCAACACTGGGCTCGTAAACAATGAACCTCTGACAGTAACGAGCGAGCATTAAGCGGCATTATTGGCTAGCTCGTTAGAGAGCAAACAGTTCTAGGAAGCAAGTTATTAACATCACTCACGGTAGTATTTGGTACTTGATAAGTGGAGGTCATGTAACACGAAGCGAATATTATTGAGCATGTGTTTGGAGTCCGAGCAGGAATATTCGGCGCTGGTGGCAGTTAGGTAGATTATTGGTTGAATATATCTGAACACATGAGAGGAGGTGCAGTATCAGGTTAAGTAAGAAGAGAGCAAGCAGCTGAACGGAAGTTGTTGACCCCATCATCTTCTGAATCAGCAATTAAGGATAGGGCGAAGGAAATAGCGGTGGCTGAGGAGGAATGGACGGTAACTGAAATGGAGTTTGGACCAGACAAGGTAGGCAAGGTGGTGGGAGCGGACAAGGGCCAGAGCTTACTGCTGGTCGATATGGATACGGGGCTGTTCTGAGCACGTGGTGCGTATAGTTTGATGTACTTTACAAGGGTCGGATAGGTGAGCTGCGTGTGGCTTAGAAGAAGGCGGAGGCGGTGGTTGTGTAGGCAACTGCTACGTTGGGATCTCAGCCGAATGGTATGTGAGTTGCCAGGGGCGGAGCTTGATAATGATTAAGACGATGTTCATGGGTTAGGGACCCTCCCGAAGACCAGGCGTGCATGGTGTGGAGGGCGCAGGTGTATATATATACCATACGGAGTATAACTAGATTTGTAGACGAATAACAGGAATTCGAAAATTTAGTGCGGGAGAGTGGGTTAGGACACCAGCTTGAGGAAGTGCTCTTGTGGGGGAAACAGTGTGTCATTAAATTAGGGAGTTTTGGGAAGAAGACCTTCGATTGCAGCCCTGGTAAGATATAGAATCTGTCATGTCAGCGGTGAATTGCGTTGGCGTAATCGTGGTCAGAGGTGGGATAGATAAGTGCCCGAATGTGGAAGTGGGGGGTTGATGGTTGTGAGCGGTAGATGCGAAAGCTGAGGTCGTCAAGCAGGTTTACGTGGCACCAGGGCGCATATCAGTGTCGCAGGAAGGCTCAGTGGGAAGGCTGAGTGCAGTTATTGATGGAGTGTCCCGAATAGGTTATTCATGGCTATAATGTGTATGACCTGTGTTCTGAGGTTAGGTATAGCAGGGAATTGAGAGGAAGCTCCGCAATGAAACTAGCAAAGCATGTCAGGACCGTGTTGTCTTCGATCATAATAGGTGGTTGAAGGAACCTAGCTTACGCAGGCGACTACAAGCGGCTACGTGTCCACGATGTCTAATCAACCTTCTTCGGTCTAACCAACTAGTCGACACGCCCCCTTCCAGCTCTACCAGGAAAACTCGAGCGTCCAGATTGTACGGGGTGAGGGGTTTAATTTCATTGGTCATTTTGTTTAGTACGTATGTACAGCTGGGAAACGTACAACCTTCATGAAGCGTAGTGATCATTGAGCCACTTACATCATAAAATGAGAGGAATTCACCATGAGGCAAGCGGATGACAGACTCGGAGCAACAGTTACTCTATATAAACTTAGTTCAGCGGTAAAAGTCGCACAGACGCTTGTTTACGCAACGGGTGAGTCGCATTGCGTTCTTTTTTTGTAGTTTTGTGTTCACTGACTATAAGGCCACTGAAAGGCGAGGCTGGCCTGAAATTCGTGATGCCCCACTAACAGACGAACTGCCTGGAATTGATGGACCATTTATGGATCATACAACTATTCTTTTTCCTATAACCAGCAATCTACACCATAAGTGCTATACTATCAACTCACGGTTGTCAATCGATTCCCCTATGGAGCCGAAAATACAGACGCACATATAATTCTGGGGCATTTTGCTAAGAAGCTGCGCTTTGGTCCAGGTGAACATGATAAAATACCTTCTCTGTGGACCGTTTACGAAGGATAGCTCTGCATTTTTTAGGCCGTGGGCAAAACATCATAAATTAATTCGGCATGTATGGACTCATTTTTAGGAAATGCCTGTAGGTCGTAACACAGGGGACGCACAGGGAAGCCTCAGCATCCCGGCGGTCAAGTGACATGGTACTGCATCCGTTTCGTACCAGCCGTCACTGGTACTAGTTGGCTGGTCACAAAGAACACAACAACCCACGTCTTTGTCTCTAGAACTCCGGCTGGATCGAGACGTATTATCCTGGACCACAGATGGCAGGTTTCTAGTCACAGACATCGAGCCTGGGGTCAGCAGAATTTGCCTTCGAATAATCAAACGTATAATGGCATCTGGAGCTCTCCTATGTTTCAGCCCCTGAAGTTTATACACCACTCGTTTCAGATGCTTACGGAGACCGTTGAAATTCGTCGACGACAGCCTGGTCACAGGTGTAAAGCGTATACCTTGTTCCAGTGGGTTGCAATCAGACATCCACCACCGGTGCATAGGAAAGCAACTTCGGAAAACATATATGAATATTATATCTTGCCGCTTGGAACTGACAGGCCTGTAAATACGGGTAACAAGTGGATACAGGGACTCGCCTCGCCTGGTAGAAGGGGCGTGTGCGTTTTCCATCACAGATGTCAACCGTCTGGGAGGACCTGAATGTTTGCATCTTGAACTATAAGTTAGTTACTATGGCTTGACCTCACCTGGCTTGTTCCAAAAAAATGATGGTGCAGTCTTTGAAGGTCATGGTCCCAAGTGCCTCAAGACGAGGGAACACATACGCTTCCGCTTAACAGACAACGTTCATTACGTAGCTGTCGTTCTCTAGGATATCCTATCTGTCACAGTACCGTCTGCGTCTCATGTCCCCTCAATGAGCCACTCGTCGTGCCGAGACACCTACCCATTGGTATACTCAAGTGTGTCGGAGCGATGCGCCCGGTTTTTAAGGCAAACATTCCCGTTTTTCAGATGATTGTTTGTCGAAGTACGAAAACGGGCAATCCCGGATGGTTCGTATATGGCTTATTTTCGTATGAAATACAACCCCCGGACGGTAAGGTAGGAGACAAATTGTGTTTCCGTGTTGCTCAGCGTTTGCGGATTTCGTCAAAATCTGTATTACCATGATATTTCAGGATAGGGCACTTTAGATAAGCGAATCACCTACTTTGCGTCGTTTTCTAGAATTCCTTTGACCAGAAATGCATGAAAAATGCACCATTCATGTGAGCTTTTTGAATACGGAAGTTGCACAAGGTGATATAGCTGCCTAACACTATTCTTGATGCCCGCATTTGTGTCACGCCTTTACTCACCCCTGAAGTCCTCAGTAGACACTGTTCGCTCATCAGGATTGGATGTCCGATGCCCATAACACGCGTCATCAGCACAATCGTTTGCCTGAACTTCCGAAGTTCACACATCAGTGCAGCGCAGATCAGAGTGTTAGGATTATCACTGCGGTGCAAAAATGCTTTGCCAATACAACACGACGCAAAACTCAGTGATTTAATGTAAAATTTCTGTCGCTGATTTGAAAATTGCGAGGTCATTGCTTTTGTTCACGGAACACATTTTTGAACCTCTCAGTAGAGAGCCATGCGAAAAAGAATTCTTTTCTTAGAAGACGTAGTGGCCTGAAATGCGGTTCCGCCTGAAGTGACGACTAACACTAACAGTAGCTTCAGGTTTCCCCAATGACCTACCCATTAGTCCATTGCGTACCATCCTCTCCTGATCAAAACGGACCTGTATACTAAAAAACTTGATCCATCTGCCCCCTTTAATTTTACCATGCCGTTTGTCCATGTGGGGGACCGTTGACCGCACAGTGCTTTTAGCGGCAGCTCATTAAATTACGTTGTTTACTGAGGCAATCAGACCCCTAGCGGAAGAGGTCTGGTAGGATACTTCCCAGCATTTCTGAGACACCAGGAAGACTAGATGGGATGAAAAGCATAGACTCGTACTCTGAACTCAATTACCTGTCTCTCCTAGTCCATCAAGCACGCACCGACGAAAGGTGAACCAGCCGTTTATCAACCCTGAAATTCAAACTGGATTGCCAAAAACCACTACTTTTCTGAACCCAGAAAAAAAACCGTGAACTCCGTGAACTGTGAATTCAATGAACCTCGATGAGACTCAGCTTATCGCCAATGCTGACCTTGAGCTCTGGCGCGTTAGATGGACTAGGTGTTTGCGTTTCATTTTTGTCGTCTTTTCCAAAAAAACATGCCCGAAGACCAGCATGCATTACACCTGAAGCTGGTGGAATCACTAATACAAGATAACAGAACTCTTGCCAGCGAGACGAGAAGAAGGTATGCCCCAATAAAAGAGGTAGGCTCGAAAGCCATGTAATCCTTGAGTTATGTTCACAGCTTGCGGAAAAGCAGATCGTGTGGCTCCGCGCCACGATGAATAGCAATGAGGACTTGAGAAATAGTAATCTTGAGCTTAGGTTTTACCGCCGCTTAGGTCTTTTGGCGCATAATATTCATGTCATTGAGCCGTTTCTCAACGGGTGCTCTACCAAACAGCAAAAGATAATCATTACCTGTCTGACCGCCGTTCAGAAACTAATAAACCGTGACTGTCTCTCTGAGGTAATTTGTTGTTAGTTGCTTAACTCTACTTTGGTAGGATGGAGCAACAGCACTGATCGAAACGCTGTGGATTTTAATGGAGTCGAACATTGAGGAGTTGCGGGTGTTACAAACTGCTATTTTGTTGCTCACAACTTCTGGGACAGTTCGTGGAAAGCTACTAGCAAGGGTAAGTTTGACGAACAAGAAGCCCCTGATTAATTGTTTCTCTACATGAATAAAGCTGTCTGTGAGTTGTAGCAGGTACTCGAAGCCGGAATTCCCCTGAGAATCAGAAAAGCTTCGGCTTATTAGGGGCCTCACCGCTTTCGTGGATATATTCTGAGCTTGTGCGCCTCGCGTTCTATGGATCAATGTGCACGAATACTTACGAACTACATCAAGATGCGCCACAGAGAGGCTAGAAAGCCTGTAGTCTCTGTCAACGCAACAACTTATTCTGTGAAAATTCGGAACCGAAGCTGGCGGCAAGGATGCAGTTTTTGGCACGTAAATGAAATAAAGGACGTGACGTTGGTGCGAACAAGAGAAGGCTCACGGCTCAAGACCAGAGCTTTAGGTTGGGAAAGAGAGCAGTTAGTAGGACGCTGTACAGCCCCCAACCTAGAAAACCGTTCAATAAAGATTTCGGCAACATCAATAAATCGGGTCAAAACTCGGAAACGTACCTAAATATGCATTAGTACAATAAGCACTTGTGCGTACATTCCACGATGACACTCGAAGGTGATTTTAGATAGTCCCATTTACAACCAGAAGTACAAAAGGAATAGTAGATTTTGTCGCTTGGGAACATGGAACGGGCCATTTTCTTGCAACAGATGCGCTCATTTGCAAATGAGCAACCTTATGATAGGTTTTCTCGGAGGGCCGTTTTCTAGTTCGTTTAACCTGTAAGTTGAAGGCTTCTTGGTTCCGCTTATTTCCATTTCGGTTGCGGTTAACAAGAAGGCGCTTCTCCAACCGCTTACGATTAATCTTTGAAATACGAGTTGCCACTTCTCTCCGTGGTCGCGGAGAACGCATGAAGAATCAGGCCATGTTGAAAGGAACTCTAGTCGGATGTTTGGGGTCATCATCAGAGACAGCAACATTGTTGTTGACATTGATGCTTCACCATACAACCCATATTTTATTTATCTAAAAAGAAAAAAGGAAAGCCCGGATGGAACATGCACATGGTACTAATCCACCATAAGCACTCTGTAGTGCCTACATCTAACGCTGCGAAGGATTAACTGGGTGCACTGCAAACTTCCGAAACGACCGTAACCGCTTGGCTATATGTTGCCGCTGTCATGCGTGCCAACCTACAACTCAAGTAGACCATACTGATATGAACTGTGAGTTGCGTGGATCACTTAATTATCCCCGCTCGTTGTGTGGGTGTGTGGACATGGGAGTGTGTTGTAGTGCAAATCCTCACATGATTGCTCGCAGGGCATATGGAAGTGACGGGGAAATTAGCTTGACCCTAGTCGTAAGTAGACCCTTTGCGCCTCAACGTCAACCTGAAATACGAAGGCCCCATTGTTGTTTTCTTAAAGTGGAGTGAAAGCGCAAAGGTGACTGGAATAACTGACCAAGTCCACCTAATCCTTGGGTACGTGATTAGCATTCACAATAGTGCAACATTATGCTACGGGACGTACAATCTGATCCTGCCTCCAGAAATTAAAGGAAAGATTGGAAGTTGTAGAACACCATAGAACTCTTAGACGATTTGCTAGCTTTGTCAAAGGCCTGGATCGCACTTGCCAATTTGTCATGAAGAACACGTGTATCACACCGCACTTCAGGCTGTACTGCTGTACGGCTGTGGGGCTCGGCCACATTGGATAGAGTATCTTGGACATTTTCGGGTCCTTGACTCCCGATCTCAGAACTGTAGCTGAAATCGGTTGAAACCAGCGAACTCGCAGAAGGTACTTCGCCAAAAAATATGTACATCACTGCATCACGGAGTGGCTGGGTCATTTTTAAGCATACTGAGTTACCGTCTACGTAGAAGAATGTTGTTTTCTGCGCCTAATTTGATGTGATAGAAGCCTGGAGGTTGGTAGAATGACATCAGAGGAAAGGAATGAAGGATGATGCGTAAGGGCTAGCTAATGTGGATACTGTTAGTTTCCCAGACTGGGGCCTATGTGACCATCTCTGTGCTCGGTTGGAGACACTAAGTGGCATGGCGGCTAATCGATATCGGTGGCTTTCATACTGTGGGTTTTAGTTCAAGTTGTCTGACTGACTGTTGGAGGTGTGGACACAGATGTTTTTAGTAGGCCGACCCTAGGCCACTTTCTTTGTCCCATTTTTCTTTATTCTGTAGGGCTTCATTTGTGTGAGCTGACATGGTCGAATGGCTATTAATAATTAGTGGTGTTTGTGTTGATATCAATAATGACAACGACACTACTGCTGCAAATGTTAATGATGCTTTTCATTTTTCACAAGCACATAAGGTTGCCTGTAATGAGTCCTTGCCCTTCCCATCCTTCATGCTCTAATGGACATTCTTTTTAGTGGTTGTATGGTAGTTAAACAGCAGTGCTTATTTCTGATGCACTGCTGTTGGTGGTGGCGATAATGTGGGGTGAGCAAAGGAGTAGAAATCGGAATAGACAAGTGCAACGGTGAAACCGGGGAGCTCTTTAAGAAAATGTTTTGAAAAGCTTGAGAACCAGTTTTCCTTTATCCATTTCACCATACTACTCTACTGCCTAGTAGAGTTAATTTATTCCTCAATTTGTGGCCTCGGTAATTGCATACGGTCGAAAATTGTTACCGAAATGCTTGCATCTTATAAGATGTCCTTCCGTTTTTACGAAATTGGTTTAGATTCTTGTGTCCTACAAACTGAGAACACCGTACACCAAAACAATGCAGCAAACGATGTATACAATATCTGGATTAACAACAACAATAAGTTACTAGAGTCATGGGCTTGAGTACGAAATCATAACAATCTGAACCCGATCGGCCAACCTCACTTTGTCGTTTGGTTGTCAGTGGTATGGACAACGAACGAAATCCTGAGTGAATTTAATAGTAGAGCAGTCTCAGGACGCGATTATGCTTTAGTGTGCTGGATGCATACCTCGGTTACCTTGTCAAGCGATTCTCGGCCGAAAGTGGTCGTTTTGTCATGATGAAACAAAATTAATGTACATGTTTCTGGTTACGGATCCCCAAAGGAACTGGGTAGTGAATGTGCGGGGGGGGGGGGAGGTGATGTTGGCGGCCACAGACGATTGGAATATCATTGGGTAGCTAAAACACTCACGCTGATTTCAGTAATGTTATGGGCCAATTTGGTGTCTGAGCCTTGATTACGCGGTGAGGAATCGTCCGTGTACACATTTTGAGATGACCAACAACTTTCTTGCTCAGTAACTTTCTTGCCAACCCAATTAAGAGCTTGAAAGCCGCCTGTTCCAGAATAGCGTGCACGCTAAATGTATCGAGCTTCACTGTCAGATTGCTTTAATTGGCTTCCTGACTTTCTTTTTTTGGCAGCCCTTTTCTAGAAGGCAATATAAGTGTGATGCGGTAGCAGCCTTGAACGAATCCCTTTGATTAATATTAAACCAATCCGCATGAGAATTTTTACAATCGTTCCAACTCAAGGTATTTGATGTGATGCCAATGGGGATCCTGTCATTGGTTCCTCGCTTCATCGAAGAAACACGGAGCTGTTAGGGTTTGATCAAGTGTCCTCGTTCCAGTGGAACGAATCGGCAATTTATTCCAAAGAAGAAGGGACCACAATACATTCCACAAACTCCACAGATTCTCTAGACATGATCCATCTCTAGTACTTAGGACTCTTGAAAACTGGCTTTCTCGGCTTTCTCGTATTCAGATCCACTAGGTGTCTTCTTGGTTACGGTAAGAGAACTATTTACGAACCAGTGCCCTGTGTCCGCGGAGGTGTATCGCCCAGTGGTGCTATACTATGAATGAAAGTATTCACTGTGTTGAAAATTGCCAAGGGTTCTATTTTTGAACACGTTCTTTGTTTTTTTTCCATGGTGTTACGTTGCCTAACCGTTACGTTACCTGCGTTGTATTGAGCTTCATTGACCAAACCACTTTTTCGTAGTCTTCGTGAACAGCATACTCTCGACTCCCCGAATGACTGATCTATGTATACACAGACAAACCAAGAGCTAGACAGTTTAGGGTCAAAAGTCACTAGTGGGTCACTACATACCGAGTACCATTCAATAGGATCACCGGTCGTCGTTCTTAGCCTCTTACTGGCATGTTTTCACCAACCCACCTACAGGCAAAACGTACAGTGCATGTCTAACGATGGAATTTACCAGACGCCAGTCCTGCTATGATTGCTTGTTTTTGCTGCTGGGTCTCTATTAACTCCGTTTGTCATTCCACTTTCGCTGCGATTGTTTGTTATGCACTCATTTGGACCCTTTCCCATACCAACCTCCAACCTACCAAATAAACGCGCCGTCGCTGATACCCTTGCGTTAAAATTAGTAAATGTTCGGTAAAAATGATCGATGCTTCACTTTCTTATCGTCTGCACGGACATCCGTAAATGTTTGCCGACGTTCAGAAAATAATGTTGATGGACGTAAAACGATTGCCTGGTTATTCCTTGTTTCTACCATTTAACGTTGAGTTCATTACGCTCGATCCTATGGTCCATGGTGGCGTTCCTTATACGATCACACGTCTTGGACTATTTGAACTTTGTTGTGGTATATGGTAGTTCCGACTGAATGCTTTATGCCGACTGTGTGAAGCTGATTCGCCACATATATTAAGGTAGGTATGGGGCTCCAGACACTGCTGGGGTGATCCACGTGGAGACCGACTTGACAGTATGGCTTCAGATCTTCGGTCAACCTACTAATCGTCATCACTTCCCTTTGTCTCTGTGAAGAAATCGATGGATGTTTATTGAGTTAGCTTTCAGTCCTCTTGACAAAGTGGCTGAACCAATGTAGTTGTCGTTGCTGCTTACTATTGAAGCAGCTCTCTACAAGGCGGAATCGGTCAGTTTACCGATCTGTTGAATTCTCTCCTGGAATTCGTCGGACCCACTCTCGACGCCAACGGTAAAAATTTCAAGTGGCGCATGTTTTCTGCATAAAGTGCCCAAGGTCAGAAAATCAAGCGGATTTTGGTTTCAAACATATAAACCCTTCTACGTGAAATGATTGGGCTCATTCTTAATGTCTCCTAACTACCCCGTGGCATTATCTCACTCTTCGTGCTTCCTTCGGGTTATGCGGCAGCTGTGCACCAACAGGTTACGGCAGTAATTTAATGTTTTTGTTCACGTTCCTTTGCTGGATACCATAGCCTCTTCCAGTGCACACCCATCACGGCAAAGGCTTTTGTTGCCATTGATGTCGCTATTTATAACAACTTTTGTCGGATCGCTCCCCTTATTTGTGTCATTGAAGAAGTCTTTCAGAACTGGAGTCTCCGAGCGTTATCTAGCTAGAATACACCGACTAGAATCTAATCATCGACCGACTGGCTTATCTATTTTCATACGCCATGACCAGCAGTGAATTATCATTGTTGAACAATAGTGCTATGCTGTCGATTATGATGGTGATGGCCGGTTTTTCCAAGCGGAATGACATCACATTACTTGCATGACCGAAAATCCCGGTCAGTTTTCTGACATACGCTAAAAACCCTTTGTTGTTCCGAATTTGTATGCAAACCAGATTTTCGTCAACCTCGTGTGGCATCCTAGGTACAACAACTAAACATTCAGGGTTTGGGGTAGGAAATGCTTTCCGAGATGCCCGTGGTCAACATCCATATGTCTGTCTGACCTGAGTTGGCCCGCAATGTCTTAGTCATCAGTTAAATGGTATATGAGCCTTTAAAGCTCACAACTGATTGGTTTGCTAAGCTAGGTTTCCTCTGACCTGATAAGTGTTGTTGATTGAGATTCTGGAAAATATCCTTTGCAACATAGGGAATGTTAAGTCTTGACTTTGAGGCTTATTTTCAATTATGTCAACAAGGTTCTGAATAATTTCGAAGGTTACTTGCATCTCATAACTTTTTTGTCCAGCACCGTATGTTCGTATTCTTTGACTCAGGATATTGGTTTTTCTCGGAAGCCAACTCACTCTTCCGGAGGGCATGCATACAGTTTCTCTGTGGAGACCGAGCTAAGAAGAGTAACGTTAATGCGATCATTCACAAGTGGTGGCTTCTCGTTGTAAGTGCTTTTCCTATAGGGATTTATACATACTAAGCGGGGTTACGCTGTGAAATACAAGTTCCCGTTAACTTCTCACCTATTCTCAGTGATATCTGTTAGATTCTCCCCCTCCTGGTTAAATTTATGTATATTCCAGCTTAGGATTCTCATTCACGTTTCCAGGAATGTGACTGCATTTGCGCCACACCTCGCGCTCAGGACTTTTTCAATCGCCTATGTCTCGTAACCTTTTGTACCTGCCATTCCACTGATAAGGTGCCCAAAAAACAAATATAAGTTTGTCTTTGCATTGAATACTTCGACCAGTGTCAACACAGGAATATATTGCTTTTCGTTTCATTTATTACCGGGCTAGTGCCGATTTGGTGTGCATTGTATTTTTTGCACTTAACTGATGAATGCTCATTAACCTTAGTCTGTTTCATGTTTTGTTTTATTCCAGGCACTCACTTTGTGTTTGCGCTTACACAACTCAAAGACACCAGCGACTGTGAATACCGCGGCCGCTGCTATTCGGCAGTGCGCTTGTGCTGTTTTCGATAGGGTTCTCAAGGAAGAAGCCAGTTTATCCGACGAAGTAAACAAATCGGTTGGTCTTCATAACCGTAAGTTCGTTTCTACGGGCATATATGGCTTAAAGAAAAATTGACGTAGTACGACTCACTTTGTTTGAGAAAAGCTGGTACGTGCGATGGTACGATGTGATTACAAACCTTCTTTAGGCCAGTATCTTCCTCAGAAGGAGGACCAATGGATTCGAAGCATCATCTGGGCTTCCTTCTAATCGATGCACGCCCTACAGATCTGTGGAGACCGTGGTCGTAGACATTATCCGCATATCTCAGTAAAGGCCTGGGCTTCATAGTGGTTGACGGTTGTTTTGTTAGCTCTGCGATCCACAGCTATACTGGAGCTGTCTAAGTGCCAGTCAAAGTTTTTGAGTCCTTCCGTATAGGTCCGGACATTGGCAGTATTGTCACCCGAATGGATTCATAATTTACGTACTCGTAGTCTGGGTGCCTTAATATTACCCACAACGGGAGGAAAACAGATCAACACTGACGCTTCTTTTCATCCTGTCTTACTTGTTTGTCCTCAGTGACCCAACTTCATCAATACTGTAGACTTATCCGTCGAAACTGACAGCTCCACTTGTTTGGAATCACTGCTAGCCAGAATACTCACGTGTCGCATTGCAACCACAGTCTGCGATATCTAGAAATCGATATTCAAGCATTTAGCACTCACACTCTAAGGAGGATAACATTCTACTCATCCACTCACTGGGCTCACTTTTTGTTGAAGTGCTACCCGTTTGAAACGAGAATTCAGGATTCAGTTATAGTTGTCGGATGAACTGCTTCGTCAGCTTCTCTTCACTTCTGATTATGAACCTCTGGTGATCCAGCATGTTTGGTTGTATTGTATTCTTTGAGCCGTGCAGCGCGAAACGACTTCTGTTTGACTTGGAGTTTTGTCACTTAGGATAACATGTTTTCAAACTATTTCGTGACCAGTACACGATGCGATCTTCTGCCTCAAAGCCTGAGAATGTGTTTCTGGTTGGGATATGGGCAACAATATAAGAAAACAGGGTTTGGATTTAATGGTGCATTCAAGACCATGTTTTATCTACAACTTTCCGAAATGCATAGAGACAAGTCTCTTCGACCGGTCGATGGCAGATTTACAGAACTTAATGGTGACGATCCCGCAGAGTAGAAAAAGTTCACGAACCGAATGAGCTAAACAGTGATGTCTTTCCAGTAAATGGGCCGTGTAAAGACCCACACATCGCCAACAACCAGTCTGTGGGTCGGGCTCAACCCTTTCAAAGTCTGTGGTCGGAATCAGTTGCCGGGCCGATGAGGGTTGCTTTCTGTTTTACTTAGTAGTTGTTATAGTCATCCCCATAGTTGTTCTCTTGGTACTACATTTGTTCAGGTTTCTTCTGAAACCCAGGGCTTACTTTGTCTTCGATTCATTCATTTTTGGGAAACCGAAACGATCTTTTGCACTTTTCAGTTCGACCGGATGAAGTTGTATGTATCAGCGTTGACGAGTTGAGACCGGCCTCAAAAGACGCGTACAGGCTTTTTCAAGTGAGTTTTAAATTTCTCTGAGCAACTATAGTCACCATTAGCTGGTCTGAGTAGCACCAGGAATGACTGGGAGAAAAACAGTTATATCAGTAAGGTGACACTATGACCAAAATTGTCGATATGTTGAATGTACTATACAGTATAGTCCCGCTATACCATTACTGTAAGACTTTTCCCGTATTTGTCGTCTCTGGGCTTCCGCAATCGTCTTCATCGTATCCCTGGATGCGCCGCCATCGTTTAGATGCTCTTCTACAGAAGCAGTGTGGCAATATTAATTGTTACTACGGTAGCCGCAATTTGACCCAACCTAAAGCTGCCACCTTGATGTGGCGGTCGGGCTTGAGTGCTGCAATGATCCCGCGGGCTACACTGGCTGGAACTTCGTCCCACAAGGTCTAACCATGCCAGGAAGGCCAAAGGGGAGCAGCGAGACCCCGCACTACGAGTAATCGTGGTACGAGGCGGTCTGGGGGTAAAGTCGTACTGTCCTCTGCGACAGGAGTGTGAAGGCA